TGCGATAAATTATTCCTGCAAGACAAGCGATACATATTTGTGCTCTTGTTAAATTGTTTTTTGGCAGCGCTTCAGAGATGCAGAGATGCCAATTGTACAACTCCTGTTTGGCTGGCCGCTTCACACAGGCTAAGAAAATGAACTGTGGGTTGGATATATTATGTTCTCAGCTGAATAAGAAGTTCAAAATGACTGTTTAGTGTTGAATGGGAGAGCTTGGACTTTCCATTAGTTGGATGCAAAGTGCGAACGGATGTTTTTTAGACATCACTCAAAAGTTGCGAGACGGACGGACGATTGTGCAACTTCCAATAAAACTAGTTCCCTTTTGACTATTGTAATTCTTTCTTGTGATCTCGGTTGCAATAGAATCTATATTTTTTCTGGGGACCATTCCAAATACATAATACTGTAAATGTTTATGACACTCAAAATGGCTTGTCACTCTAAAACCAAATCCAAATATTTCATTATGGGACCTAAATGTATCGAAATTCATTTCAACTGCTATAGATGTTGTTTCTGCAAAAAAGCTGATCATAAAAACGCCCTCATTCCTTGCACGAGTCCAAGAATGATTTAAAAAAAAAAAAAGAGCAAATTGACCTTTGAAAACGTGTATCTTTGGACCAGAGAGTAACCTTCAAGTTCTGGGAGACTTTGGGAACGCCACTTTAGCCCACGTATTGCATAATTTGTATTTTTCCCATTCTCTTGTGAACATGTGGAAGAATTGTTACGTCACCCAATTGAATGAATGACCCACCTTGGCATATAAAACCAATGAATTACCCTACACACATCGAGCCAATACTCAACCTCCACTCACACTCCATCCACTTTCTCACAAGTTTATGTCCCTCTCGGGCTTCCGTCCTTCCATCTCGAGCTGGGCGTACGCTTGCTCCCGTCCCTCACCCCTTTTAAGCGGGGCCAGGCCGTTAAAGAGGCCATTACCGCGCTCTTTCTGCCGACTGCCGAATGAGTGTGGACTGTGAATTTTATGTGCTGGCGGTGGTACAGCGGAGGCCAGTTCATGCGCTACTTCAAGCGTTAACGTAATCGCAAGAATGTGAAAAATGAGCCAGGGGTCAAAGCGCGGACCGAGGGAAAACAACTGGACGAGCTAGTGTCATAGACTATACTAGAGTTAGTGTAAAACTTAGCATCTGTTTGAAATTCTTGAATTAATGATAGTTTTTAATGTAAACATGGGGTCAAATTGCCTTTTTTACCTTTTAGCCATGTTACATTGCTAATTTGTCAAAAAAAAAGCCCTGGAGTTGTTTTTCTCTGTTGTAGCTCGCTCCAAGCTAATATCAGGAATCGTCCTCACACCACTGTCAGCTGTTGCACAGTTTTGAAACTATTTGATGAATACAGAGCAATTTTCTGCTTTGAATATATTCAATATATAGAAAATTCAAGGCAGCAAAAGTCTTGCCACAAAAATGAAAATTTGGAAGATATTCTCAAGATCATGTTTATGGGCCAGAAAAAAACAAATGCTTTTTGAACAGCCCGAACAATCAAAATGCATCACTTTAAACGCGTTTTCTCAACATGGCATGATTGCAGTTACATCAGCCTTCCTCTACTTCCAACTCGCACGTTCCCCTATCCCAGCCTGGCCGCCCCATGTCTGCGGTGACCACCCTCGTGCCCAGTGGCCCCGTTGTCCGGCGGTTGGCCTGGGTGCCGTAACCGTAACCATATCGAGTGCCTGTTACTGGATCCGCTGCAGGGACGAGTCGATAAGTGCTCTGTGGATTACAGGTCACTTGTACTTATGTGTGTAAGATAATCAATAAGCAGTGCATTTCTCCCCCCACCTTCCCTCAGCTCCTCCCCCACTCCTCTCTGTTCTTCATCGAGCCTCAGAGCTGTCCGTGATCCGTCTTTTGATGGCTGATAATACGCTGTGAGCTCACGTCTCAGGCGCTTAGAGCTGCATCTTCACACAGATATAAGGGCGCGCTATTGTAGTTTTTAGCTGCAGTCTTCTTCAGACACTAATTAGGACGTACATATTGTGCTTTGTTTTGCGGGTTATAATCCATGACACGCGGATCATTGTACATTTGACATCTTAAAATTGATTTAAAGTGATAACCAAAAAGATTTGCTGTGCGATATTGGAAATTTCTGTTGATGTTCATTATGCAATCTCAACTTGGCAGATCATGGGCAACGGATACTGTTTCATTCACAACAAAACGTCTCTAGGCTTTGAGTAGAGCAGTGTATGTATAATGTCTCCCAAAGTCTATTTATGACCTGTCTTTCAGCATGTACAACAAGGCACTGATGTACTTTTACAGTAGCCTTTTACTAGTGTGGGGTGAAGAATTATGAGTGTTAAAAACCAAAGATGCTTAGACTCCATACAATGCAAGTTGGCAAAAGAAGGTTGCACATTAAGGAATTATAGCATAAGAAAACTGTAATCCTCCAAGCTACTGTATATCCAGGAACCATTTGTAAAATATATGAGACAAATTTCCTTTACTATGAAGTTGTATCCTTCTGTCTTTCCATTTCCCATCTGAGACCAAGGACGTTTCAAAGACCATCTCGTTCATTTGGATCTACAGTGATTTAAACAAGCCCACCGCAGACCGCCCGTAACAATAGCCATGATCGCCTATTGGCAAAACGATAGCCCTGCACCGCCGCTCCTCCTGCGCCTCCCTCTCTCTCCCTGTGTATCTTTGGAAGGATTTGCGTGGAGGAGAGGGGAGATGGTGTGATGAAATTTCATGCAAATCCCAGGACACTGCCAGAAGGCGGAAAACACACAAAAAAGATAAAATAAAGAGCTCAGCGTGCATAGAAACAAAAATATAGCCGGCATTCAAAACAAAGAAGAGGTTGTTTGGATTTGAAGCTGCAAGGTCTTAGTGGAAATACGACCAGAATTCTTGTTATGCATTTCTTAATTAGTTATTGGACTTTTGATTAACATGATGCGTAGTATTAGCAGTTAGCAAAATGCTTAAGATTAGGCATGTTTCGTGCATAGAAAAAAAAGTGTATTTCTATTTTACTTTCTAGTCTAATTGAAATTGTTGGGCATCAAAGTACAAGCCTAAATCACTTTTATATAACTACATTTTACATTCTTGGCAAAGCTTGAAAAAAGACATAATGACATAATGATATTTTACTGCATTTTAAGACGGTTTGAAGTAAGTATTAATGTTATCAAGCATAATAATAACATTATTTGCAGCCTTCTTCAATTATAATGAATAAAGTTTATTAAGATTACTTTAGGTTTTTTTTCTATCTGATGACAAGTAAGGTTAGGAGTTAAGTTATGGTAAGTCGTTACATTTCCTTAGTCATTCATATAATAACTACATTTGCAATATTAAGAAAAGCTTAAGTAATAATGAACAACCTGGCTTTGTTGTATCATAATCAGGAGATATGGTTAAACTATTAATTATTGATGAATTAACCATTGATTATGTATCCTCTGTCTTTATTAAGGATAAGAAATGTGTAGTTATAACACAGTGTGGGATACATGAGGTAATGATCTGATATCCTAGTAACTTGTAGAATAAGTAATTTAAATAATGACTACCACATCTATTTGAATGTTTTCTTTATCCATTACGCAATCAAAACGTCTACAATAATTTCTAGGTGCATCAAATCAACATATTGCCCAATTCTCTGCATATATATGTCCTCTACCTTTCCACAAACCATCAAATCATAATTCTAACTTCCTTGTCAAAATTGATCGAAGCGTGACTAAACTAGCAGTCACTCCGCACACTATCTGTACCCGGCACAAATGCACTTGTTTTGAAACGCTTTCTTCCACTTTGGCAGGTCGCGCCGCGCATAATTACGATCTGTTGTGCTCGCAAACTTAATATGATTTCCAATACAAGCGAGAACTGGCAGAAATACTGTTAATCACCGGCTTTTGTGGTTTTGTTGCCGAAAATAGCAAACCTCCAGGGAGGACGGATCGCTATAGGTGAAGCCGTCATGGCCGCCAGTCAAAAAACGCACTAATCCAATTTAAAAAGGAAGAACGAGCTTACATCTCTTAGACTTGGCATCGGCGGTTTGCATATGACGAATGTGGCACACCTGAATGTATGTTGTAGGGATGTAGTGCTGGAACATTCAGGTTAGTATGAGTAATTTAATTATTAATCATGATTATTGAAGCCTTCACATGAGCATTCTTCAAAAAAAAACTACACATTATCTTGAAAAGGATCTGAAAGTGTCAAAGGTTCTACAAAGATATTCTTCATCACATGTACAACAAGTTCAGCTATGCCACAAAATAAGTAAGAATGGGGCCATTATTGAGTGTATGGCAAAAATCGCAATATATCGAACTTGCTTCAATGTCACAACAACCAGGCGTGGGTATGCCAAAGCAGTATATCTAGGGCCCCTCTTTGATATCCTATCTTGTACTCAAAGGCAGTTTTCAAATCAACAGGACATGACTTTATAAAAATCACCTGCATGATTCCATGGAAATCAATAAACTAGATAAAGGAACATTTTCTGTTCAATTACAGGAGCCCAACGCCAGACTGTGGAAGATTACAGCCAAAGGAAAAACCACAACTCAGATTTGTGGCGAAGCAAGCCGAAATAGGACACATATAAAAACAGTAGTATATTACCCAAATATTTGGCTGAGAAAGTTCTGTACTGAGGCTTTAAAGCTTAAAACTAATATACTATATAGAAAGCCAAAGTGTTGATTAGTCCAATAACGGCAGCCAGAGCCAACAGCTACATTCCAAACAAAGCGCAGAGAGAAAACTTAACCTGATCTAGTGATGCCACTGTAAACTGAAGTCCAAACGCTCCAGCGGTAATAGGTGAGTAGGGGAGGTGGAGGGGTGGTGGATGGATATGGGGATGGACTGTTGGAGCACTCGGTCGGCCTGTGAGAGGAGGCCTTCCGGGTGCGCACCGTACACACATGCCCTTCTGTTTCTGTCCTGGCTCACCTTGCTCACTGCTGTTGTCGCCGCTCTGGGAGGCATGGCCCCCGCTGGAGGGCCCCGGAGTGCCGGCTGAGTGTGTGGAGGTGGCATCGTCATGGTCTCTCCAAGAGGCGGGGTTCTGTCAGGACAAGAGAAAAAGCTGGTTAGGTTGAGCTATCGAGGTGTAATGCCCTTTTCTTTAGCTGAAGTAAATGGTTTCAGGGCCTAAGCTAACCCTTAAGGAGTGACAGACAAAAGACGCAGCCCTGGCACTTCATTAGAGACGTCAATAACAGAAATAAAATAAATACACAAAAATTGTATGTTTGTGGGAAGCCAGGTTGCTTTAAAAAAGTCTGATACTTTGGTGCCTAAACAGTTACCTTAAAACAACTGGCCATTATTGAAATAGCTGTCTAGTATGTTAGTCTGAAGTGCTCAAAAGATGATGACTAAAACAAGCCAGGGACAAGTCATGACTGCAACAAACAAGTAACTACTGCAGAAACATAAATACATCTCTGGACATTTCAATTTTGTTCAATCTTTCTCAATCAAATGTTGTTTAACTACCATTCACTGGCTTATTGTTATTCAAACAAATATATTCATTTGTGATTAAATTTAACAATAGGGTTTTAAATGTTTATGAAATTAGTCATTAATCACACTAGTTTGCCTATTGTGATGCATATAATCTAATCTAAAATCTTCCGGAAAATGTGAGCCCGCTCTAGTTTGAGTTCATGTCAATATCAATTTCCATTCGTACAAGCTGGTTTTGTGAGGAGGAGAAATTATGGTTTATTATGGTTTATTATGTAATAGCGAGGATGACATATGGGAATTGCTGTGCACTTCATCAAACCAATCGCGCAAAATCAATGATAAAAATGACTTTCTATGCAATGGGGGAACCTCCATGTAAAAAAAAAAAAAATCACCGCTTAACTTGTCCTCTCCACACCGGGATTTCTTGTGCACAGGAAAGCCTTTATCAGCCCAGGCCGAGGTGGAATTTCCTTTGGAGTTTGGTTTTAGAGACCCACGGACAACAGCGACGTCATCGCCTACTGCTGTTGCTGCTTACTACTCTTAATCCTTCAAAACAAATACTTTAAACCGAGACTAAGCCAGGGCTGAACCCGGATTTCATGTTCAAATTACGTCGCAACCCACGCTTCTACGACTGAAGGGATCTCTATGGTCTGTACCTGCACCTTGTAATGATGATATTAAGAGATTATAAAGATCAAGGAGAAACTAAAGAAGGCATTTTGTGCTTTCAGCTGAACTGGGAATAACTTGAGGCACATGTGGATTGAATATTTAAACCATTATTATTTTAATGAAATACTTAAGGAAACTGGCAATAAACCAAATGGACTTCAATTCCAAAAACTTCAAACGACTGTCCAGCTTCGCCGCAACATTTTGTGAATAAATTCCCCATCGTCACCAGAGTTTGATGACAAGAGGCTGGCTGACACTCGCGGCTGTAGTTCGCGGCTGTAGTGTTGTCTGGGGAATCCCGAGCAGAAACCAAGCTAAACAAACAGGAGCAGAGCGAGCCACAGACCTCAGCCCACTTCTCTGGTCCCTCGTGATCGCAACACATGCCAACCACTTATTTTCATTCAACTTTTGGTCAAATACAGCCAAAAAGACCGCCACGACAGAGAAAGCCCCTTTGTGAGCTTCTCCCACAGATATCCGGTTTGAAATTTGACAAGGCCCAAAATGTATATTGTATTGGGTTTTCAAAAGAGATGTGGAAATGTGTGCGAATGTGGCTTGGACATATTTATATCATTTTAAAAGACAAGGTTAGCTGGGGTTTTAATAATGTCACACCCAAAAACAAGCACTCTCACTAGGGTTAGGGTTAGCCAATTTGAGCACTAAACATTTATCCACAAAAAGGCGAGCGACGGACTGCGGTGCACACTTGAACTCTCTCTTCACAATGAGGGCCACTTCGCCACTTTTGTCCAAACGTGCTCCACACCTCTCCAGTCTAGCCCCTTTTATCCAACAGCACTGCACAACTGATGGAGAGGGCCCCGAGTGGCACCCAGCGCTTCAAAGACCAGGGCCTGCGGGTGGAACGCCACGGGTAAAGGACAGGGCCCCCCGCGGGAGATGCACCATGTTCTTCGCAAGACTTTCACAAGAGCTAAACGGTGTGAGAAATGCAAAGTTGGAATTTGAAAAGCTTTACTTAGAGGAAGGGACGGGAGGTGTGTTGCCAATTGACACAAAGACAATATACTGTAATGTGCAGTGAGAAGAGTATTAGTAGTTGTTGTAGTTGCAGTTGTAGCAGTAGTAGTTAGCAGTAACCATATAGACATTGTGACACCTCAGTACTAGTAACAATATTCTTATTGGCAGTAGTAACTGGTGTAAAACTAACTGTAGTAATAATACCAGAAAAACACAAACATGCTGAGTCAACCAAGAGGCATAGCTTCCAAAGAAGTGAAACTAGTAGTAGCAGCCAACGTAGCAGTAATAGCCTCATAACAGTAGAAGTAATAGGTCTTGTGTATAAGTAATACATAGTAGTATCAATAGTAATAGTAGCAGTAGCAGTAGTTGACTTTGACTTCATTTAACTTGGGCAAGAAACCAAATGTTGGCGTCTTGAAAAACAAAAGCCCCATCTTTTATTCGTAATAGCCATGTGTAGTCTCAGCAGAAGTAGTAACAGTACTTTTCCTTTTCCAAATAAACTCCCCATATAAAAATATCCTCTCCCTTCTCTCTCCCTCTGCCATTTAATGCAACATCCGATCGATGGGACTTGATTCAGCGATCAGTGCGGCCGGGGGTAATGTGTCATTTTTAATAGCGCTGCCACTAAATTAAATTCGCAGACACCTCGGCTAATGGCGGACGGGGGAAGGAGGGATGCTTGCCGGTGATTTGCTATATAGCTCAGGGTTTTATCGTCTCCTGCAGCATGTGTGTAGATGTACTGAGGACGCGATCGTTCGGAGGCCACGGGGCAAAAAGTGAACGGATCATTTGGTCTAGTAAGAAGTCAGAGAACAGAGATTATAAAGATGAGATGCAACGATGTAACTGCAAAGTCCACTTTGGGTCATGAGTCTCTCAGTTAATAGATTTTAAACGTAAGTTACAACTGGTACAATTTATATTTGTATTACCATTGTCAACGTCGACTATATATGAAAACTTTGAACAAGATTTCTCCAACCCTCTGCTGATCGTTACAACTACAAAACATACGGTTCCAACTGCTAATGCTGCTGCTGTAGCTATGTTAAAGCTGGTGTACCCACATTATTTATTACTATATAACTAATACATGTTTGTCCCAACAGAAAGAGCCTTGTAAAAGTTAAGTGTGGTGAACAAATCAGACCACACCATCTTCAGTATAATTACAAAAATTAACTTTAATATATGCACCACCACTACTTACTATCTTACAATGACCAGTACTACCAAATTAAAAGCTCCAACTTTGATAAAAAAAACTATTGACACAACTGCTGCCATGATTCTTTCCCCTCACAACAAACAGTTGCAAAGGCTTAATCACGGCTCCACTGAAATTCCAATTCATCTTTTTACTATTCAATTCCGTCTTCTTCATATCCAGCAGGTTTTCCCAGCTCGCGTGTAAACCTTGTTCAAACACATTAGCAGTGCCGCAACTTTGCCCGCGCGCTCCCTGCAACAACAAAAGCAGCAACCTCCCCTTCCCATGAATTATTTACCGTTTTCCCTCTCCGCGAGCAAAGCAGGGTGCAACCGCAGACGCTGCCGAGACAACACCGGCATTTTGTCGTGGGCCCCGTGGGTCTGATAAAGTTCAAACAGTCAGCCAAACACAACAGAATAACCACAAAACGCGACAAACTCGTGGAAAATAAAGAGCCCCCCGTAAGCAAGGCGTAATGAGTATTCAAAAGGTTGTGTGTATGCTAGCAGCCGATGGAGTCAAGAGTGCAAAGCTAAACAACAATAAAAAGGTGTGAGATGGGAGAAGATGCAAAAGAATATGTCAACTTCATATGAATTGTGGCAGTAGCAGTAGTTATAGAAGCGGGAAGCATATATGTTGAAGGAAAAGCCTAGATGATAGAAGTACAAATATTTGGCAAAGTAGAGATTAGGGTAGTTAGTTTAGAGCTAGTAGTAATAGAAGTAGTAGTAGGAGCAGGCCAAATTGTTTTTTATTACAAATAAGTGGTATTTGTGTTAGCATTTATTGTGTTAGCTTCTGCATAGCATTAGCAGGAGCAGTAGAAGAGCAGTGGCAATAGTAACCATAGTAGTAATAGTAGTAGAAGTAGCAGCAGCAGTATTAGTAGTAGTGTATTAGTGGTAGCAGGCAATTACTCCTAGGTGTAGTACTAGTCACAATTTGTAGAAGTAGGTATTATAAGTGATACCTTCTAAAACAAAGCACAAAATAAGAGGAAATGCAATGGACATATTAGCAGTACTACTACTACTAGCAGTAATAGTAGTAGTATTATATAAAGTAACAGCAAAAGCTTGTGATAATCAGGAGCCAAATACCGTGTGTAAGCCAGCTGCTAATTGCGTAAAAAGCGCATTGAAAACAATGGGTACAAGATTGCAGAAGGCGCTACAAAACTGAGTCTCCTGGGAGGGCCTTTGCTATTGGCTGGGGTGGCCGGCCGACATGCCATAATACAAGTCGTAATTAATATAAAAGGAGTAGGCAATATGGGAGGTTGCCAGATAGCGCGAAGAAAAGCCACCAGAGGGGAGTGAGCAATAGCGCTAAGTCCCCCGCCTCGCATTTACAAACACCTGCCTGCCGCAATCTTGCCGCGTCCTCGGGAATTCGGAATAAAATTGATTTAGCGGCGTCATTGAATCTCCGCCAGAATTCCCAAGGAGGTGAGCATGTGGGAGGGGTCCGGAAAAGGCAATATTAGACGGGAAAGTAAAAGGCTGTGGGGATTGCAGTCACATATAGGAAAAGCCAAAAGCCGCTTATGCTTAACAACTATGTGTATTCTGCAAAGTATTGTGTGAGTTAGCATAATACGCTAACATACCAGACATGCACATCATGTACCCCAGAAGACTGTGCGTATGTGTGGTTGATTGTTTAAAAAAAAAAGAAAGGAA